TCGAAATCACCGCAAAATTCGCCTTCCTTGCTCAGCAAGTAAGGGAAAGCCAAACACACAACCACCGACGGGGTATTCCCAAACCATAGCATTCTCTAAACCCATTAAGCCTAGCATTCAACTCACGCGAAGACTTGCTAAAAATCGAAATCTCCTCCTTATACAACAACCCCAGCTTGTTCCAGGGAAACCCAAATCCCGAAAGCTCCCGAGCCACCTCCAGAAATCTTCGGAGAAGAAGAGCTTGTCCGGAGGCGAAAATTTGGAAACATCCTGGTAATCTATGCCTATGCTTTCGAAGAAAACTCGAATTCGTTGATGGGTTCGTACCTGGGAAGATTCTGGAAGGCTGCGGAGAAGGCGGGGCCGGAGAAAGGGACGCGGCGGATGAGAGCGGGGAGAGAGAAGAGGAAGTTTCTGGCAATGTGGTCGGCGAAAGTGAAGGGCAAGGAGCTGGTGGTTTGGAGATACTCGGTTAAAACCTTCTGGGCTTCTTTAATAACTCGGGGTCTGTATTTGGCACGGAAATTAGGGAGAATTGGGAATTTGGCTATGGTTTTGGTAGTAATGGTGGTGGTGGAAAAGTGACGGGAAATAAGGGTGAAGAAGACTTTTGGGAAACGCATTGCATTTGGGTTTAAGAAGGGTTTTGGGTTTCTGTGGAGAGAAATTAAGGAGCTTTTTCTTGGAATTCTATTTAGTTTAGAATGAGAGGAACAATGGTCTTTTTATGGTTTGTACTTTGTATTGAAAGAAAGAAGAGAAGAATTCAAAACGAAGAAGAATGAAACAACTGATCCATCAATGCAAGAACAATCAGTACAAACCAGAACCGGACAACTTTTTTCTTCTGGAAGCGACAGTCGGAGTTCGCATAGGCGGCGGCACCGATGGGAGAAATGAGTGAGGGGCGGAGACGGAGAGAGAGTTTTGAGTGAGTGGGATTGTGCTGACTCGTGGGTGACCGAGCGAAGGGAAAGGGAAGACCGGAAGGAACCGTTCGGTTCGCTGATTCGAATTTTTAATTTAAATTAAGATGTGACGTTGTGTAAGAGTTTTTTACTATAGTAAAAAAATTAAATGTGACTATTTTTTAGAGCTTTTTACTGTAGCAAAACTCGAATCAATGAAATGAACGGATTGTTTACTTCCCGGATTCGAGTTTTCAATTTAAGTTGAAATGTAACATTTTCTTAGAGTTTTTTACTGTAATAGAAAAAATTAAATGTGACATTTTTTAAAAACTTTTTACTGTAAAAACTTAAAACTAAAAACTCGAATCGGTGAAATAAATGAGGTCATGTTATAAGTTTTAATTTTTAATCTATACTTTCCATTTTTAATCTTATTAAATATATAATTTTAAATTAAATTTAATATATAAATTTATCCCTTATCTAGAATAATAATTAATTTTGACTTTTAGATGATCAAATTATCCTTTAAAAAAGAGAAAAAATAAAACTAAAACTTTTCAACATTATAAAAAATAAAAATTAAAAACACAAAAAAAAACCTTATTTCAATGGTATTTTAGATCTTTTAAAGTTTTTGTTTAGTTTTTTCTTTTTCTATTTTTATTTAAGAGTTCTTTAGGTATTTTATGTTTAAAATCGACGATTGACTGTAAAAAGATATAAATTTGAGTATTAAATTTAATTTGAAGGTATATATATAATGAGATCAAAAATTGAAGATATATGTAGTGTTTGGAATTGTTCTTGTTTTTGTTTTTCACGTTTTTTGAGAAAGAATAAATGAAAACGATTCTAAAACGGTGTTTGTCACAATTAAAGATAAAAAATAAAAATGAAAATAATTTTTTAATTTAGTGTAAAATGAGAGATAAATGAAAAATGACTTTTAATCATTTTTCATTTTTTATTTTCGTTTTCTCTTCTCTCGAGCAGAGAGAGAGACATTAATGGATTTTTTTTATACTGAAAATAATCTCATGATAAAACTACCAAACGCATTTTCAAAAATGATTTCTGTCTGAGATTGAAAACGTTTTCATTTCATTTTTCATACAAAAAATAAAATCATTTTGAAATGAGTTTCAAACGCACCCATAGTTTTTCAATAAACCCAAAATACATGGTATGAAAAGTAAATATCTCAGGAAATAATTAGGATGAAAATAAGCCAACAATACCCTGTATTTTATCAAAATATCACTTTCACCCTTCTAATTATGTAAACGTTCGAACCGCTCCACTGTATTTATAAAAACAGACCTAAAATACCCCTTAAGCACCCAATCTATATTAAACATTATCTTTAGTTTTGATTTAACTAAAAAATTAAATAAAAAATTTTAAAAATGCTCAAATTAATATTTTAATAAAAAAATACTTAAATTATTTTGAGAGTTTTCCATTTTTTTTCATATTGATTTTGTTTTACTTTTTTATTAATTTATATGTAAAATAACGTAAGATAGCTTGAAAAAGGTAATCATGGAAATTTTAAAAATTTAATTGTTTTAAAGGTGTTTTAAGACTTTAAAAAAAATGAGGGTGTTTTTGATATTTGCATAATAAAAAGGGCAACAAAACACGCATGGAAATAAAAGTTGACCGGCAGAATAAATGCAAGTATGGAGCAGTAATGCAAGTTGGGATTCTTTTCTTCTTGATTGGGAAATCTCTTCCCTCTTCCATTTGTTATCTCTTGTATTCATCAAATAATAAAAAAAAAAAGTTATCTCTTGTAGATAACATATTTATTTTTGATGAGAGATATCGGCTTCTTTTCAAAAAAGAAGTTTGTTACTTAAATCATTCATTCCTTAAAAGGTCAGAAAAATCTGTCTTTCTCATTTATCCGTGGTGATTTGTGCATATGTAGACTCTACTAACATGATATATTATTATTTAAACAAAAAATGAAATAGTAGAGTACACGTGTCAAACAGTGATGCATAGAGTGATAAAATAAGTATCAGAAAGAGTGATGCTAACATTTCTCTGAAATTACAAGGCGAAACACGAGGAAGAAAAAACTAAACTTCAAAATAACAAAGGAAACAAAAAGAAAGGTCCCAAAAAACCAAAATTGAAAACTAGACTTGAGGAGAGACGGCTATTCTTTGATTAGATCTCTTTTGAAAAAGAGAAGCTTGCTAAATTCCTTTACAAGAAGAATCCAAAGAGCCACGTTGGTTTTATTCTATCCCAAATAAGGCCCGTTTAATTCGTTGATTCGAATTTTTAATTTAAGTTGTGATGTGACTTTATGTGAGAGCTTTTTACTATAGCAAAAAAATTAGATGTGACTATTTCTGAGAGCTTTTTACTGTAACAAAACTCAAATTATAAACTCAAATCAGTAAAATGAACGGGGCTATTGAGTCCTACTGAGTTGCTTACAAGTTGGTTTTAATTCTATTCAAAGAGCCATGTTGGTTATAATTCTATCTTCCTCACAACCTTCAAAGATTCTACAGTTTCTCTTAAGCTCAAGTCACTTTCCCGTTTAGTTCGCTGATTCGAGTTTTTAATTCGAATTGAGATGTGATTTTATGTGAGAGTTTTTTACTGTAGCAAAAAAGTTAGATGTGATTATTTGTGAGAGCTTTTTACTGTAGCAAAACTCGAATTCTAAACACGAATCAGCGAAATAAACGGGGCCTTAGACTTGATTCTCGTCTCCCACGCTTCCCTTTCAAGAATCTGATGAAGTCAAATTTGCAACCTCCTTCTTTCTTCAAAGTTTGTCTTTTCTTCAATTTTCTTTAGAGCAACTTTTTATTTTAGTTTCTTATTTTTTTTGGTTTTTTTTAAATTTGAAAAAAGGAATATACCTAAAATATTATTTTTGGGATTATACTCAAAACACTCAATGTGTTTTATCAAATTATCACTTTCATCTTTCCTTATTATATAAATATTCAAAATATCTCATATCAAATTATCACTTTCATCTTTCCTTATTATATAAATATTCAAAATATCTCATATCAAATTATCACTTTCATCTTTCCTTATTATATAAATATTCAAAATATCTCATGTGTTTATAAAAATAGACACAAAATATCCCCGAAGCAATTAAGTTTTTTAAAATGTTAAGATTACACTTTCCAATTTATATTAAATACAATTTAAAACATTAATAAACCAAAATGTTAAATAAAATCAATCTTAAGAAATGAAAAACTCTCAAAATTATTGAAGTGTTTATTTGATTGGAATATTTGTTTGAGCATTTTTAAAATTTTTTATTTCACTTTTTATTTAAATCATATCTAAAATAACAATTCTTCTAAAAAAGGAAAATTATATAGAGAAGTTTGTGTTTAGAGCTTAAAATATACAATTCTGTACTCGAGTGAAATATTGAACTTGAAATACGATTCAATTATCATATTTATCAGGAATAATTAAGAAACTAAAATGTGACATTCTCTTTAAGGGTATTTGTATAAGTGTCGTATTGAAGGTGCAGTGCATGGTTGGCTTATATAGGTTATGCTTCTTCGTTAAATAATCTAGCAGACTACCACAGATAAAAAGTAATTGAATGAATCAAATGGTGAAAATTGATATTGACCCAAATGAACCATGATTTTGGTCTGACAAGTTGGGAAGATAATTCGCATCATCGTGGCTTTGAACATGGCACATAGTCTGTTTAGTTTGCTGATTTAAATTTTTAATTTGAGTTGAGATATGATTTTATGTGAGAGTTTTTTATTGTAACAAAAAAATTAGATGTGATTATTTATAAAAGCTTTTTACTGTAATAAAACTTAAGTCAGCGAAATGAACGGGGCCTCAAACTACTAATTTTGTGCAAAGTATCAACCCATATTTCATTATTAATAAAGAAAGCGCACTTGACTGAAACTATAATCATCGTTTGATTCAAAGATTCGTGACATGGTTCGAATCATGATTTGTGACTCGCTATAATATTTTCTCTCATAAAAAATACACATAAATTAAAAATAATTCTAAATCATGATTCTAAATCCATCAACAAAACGTCCACTCAAATTAGTTTCCCAACAACCTTAAAGAAGCTACGTATGAAACTTATATATATACAATGTTTGCTAGTTACAGCTATAGCCCATGTCATGGGCTCGGAGCAAATGAAACAAAAGTGGGCATCAATCAGAGTACACTTGTGTGATTTTACCCACAGTGATAATGCCAGTCGCATCTCCAATGAAAAAGACTCCGGTGCCATCTTGGATGTGAATTGATCGAGCTTCTTGTCTTGCAACTATTTGTCCCTTCTTCTCAAAACTGCAATTCGGTTTGTATTGTTATTATCTCTCTATTTGAAAGCCGGGATCTTCTTTGGTAGGCCGGCTTATCAGTAGAACTGATTTCTGACCGTTAGATCTGATTAAAACCACATCTGATTGAAATGATACATAAAACGGATAATTTTTGATACAGATGATATGACGGACGGTGTAAACAAATAAAAAATTACTGATAATTTATTTTTCTCAGTCCTACTAGAGAAACTCTGATCCCGTAGAATTAAGCATGAAAAATCAAACGAACTCATGGCCACGGCGATCCACTTACGATGGTAGCTCATATAGATGGACAGAATGATCGTCGCGTGAGCATAACAAAATATCACGCCTTTGGTCTTGATTCGGCATCGGCATCGGCATCACAGGGATATTCATCCCACCAAGCGCAAGAACACCCTTAAATGTACCAAAACTGAGTAGTTACACAACAAATCTAACTACATAAAATTAAATAATTTCCTTCTCTAAACAGGCCAATGCAGGAGAATTCATTAAAGTACTTAAAAAATCAGCAGATTGAATAAAACAATAATACCTGTTCCTCCTCGTGCGTATAGCACACTTCCAAGTCACCTTCTTGCGTATAATCCCATGCCTTTATTGTCCCATCCAATGAACAAGAAACCAGATAATTATTCCAGCAAGCGAGAGACATCACTGCACTAGAATGTCTCTTCACCGTCCTAAGGCATTGTAAAGTATCAAGATCCCATTGCTGGAAAAAAAAAAAGTAAAATCTTTTTTAAGCATTAGTCAGATATACACAACACAATGTCCATTTAATTTACTGATTTAAATTTTAAATTTAAGTTGAAATGTAACTTTATATGAGAGTTTTTTACTGTAATAAAAAAATTAAATATGACTGTTTTTTAAAACTTTTTACTGTAATAAAACTCAAATCGATAAAATAAATAGAGCTTAAAAAATTTCAAACCAATACACATTGAAGTGGAGAAAAAGAAACATACCTTTATTGTACCATCCGTAGAGCCAGAGTACAACATCTTATAACCAATAGTTATGCAAACTACTCCATTAGTGTGACCTTCAAGCGCGATCTCCGGTTGAAAGGGATTATCAGTTTCACTTTCAGAATTAAGTTTCCAGACCAGTATTTGCCCACTCTGCAACGTGCAAATAAAACACATTATGGGCCGTTTGGTAACGTTTTCAAAATAATTTTATTTTCAACACAAAAATAAAAATGAGATTATTTTAAGAATTATTTTAAGACCGATTCTAAAATTGTGTTTGATTAGTTTTTTAAGAGATTATTTTAAGTATAATAAAAAAGTAAAATCATGTTTGGTTATAATTATTAATTAATATATTATAATATTATTGATAAATACTAAGAAATAATATTATAATCATTCTCATTGTTTTTTATTTTTATTTTTTATTTTTAAATATTTACTAAATAAATAAAGTTTGAAGACCGTTTTTATCTTCGTATCTCAAAAAATGTGCAAAAATATTTAAAAAAATAAGCAAAAATCAATTCTAAACTTACCTATTAATTCTCATTGATATTATCACTTCTACAATTTAAAGGGGGAAAAAATTGTCAAGTTACATTAATGTTACCTCTGTCCCAGCAAATAATTTGTCGTCGCCAAAATCCATCACGCAAACTTGACCAATAGGTCCATCTAAATTGAATCCTACATCCTTTTGACAATTCCAGGCCTTCAAATCATAAATTTTTATAATAGTGTGAGCATCTTGTATGAAAGATATTATGACAATTGTTATCAAGAGTCATCAACTTAGAACATACTGGAAAAGTAAGAGTGCGTTTGGAACAATAATTCGTGTCATGATTTAAATTATAGTTTGTGACTCGTTATAATATTTTTTCTTATAAAAATACATCTAAATAAAAAATGATTCTAAATTATAGTTTTGAATTTATGAACCAAACGTCATCTAAAATTACCTTAACAAGATTTTGAAAGCCCATAAAAATCCAAGGCCCCTCGTGAATCATTGAAAAAATTTCAGCGCCGAGGTTGATGACCCTCTCACATAATCCAGTATGACAATTCCAAACTCTGAGGGTTCCATCTTTGCTTCCCGAGTAAAGATTGTCGCCAATGGAAGGCAATGCGATCCCTGTGATTGCCTGCTCACGTACATAAATCAACACGATGAAATAATTTTAACTTTTTGACTGACATTGATGAAGGCAAATCAACTTGTTCATGTATATTTATAAACATTCACTACGGTATTTAAGTTTCGTTTATTTTACCGATTTGAGTTTAGAATTCGAGCTTTGTTACAGTAAAAAATTCTAAAAAACAGTCAAATTTAATTTTTTTATTACAGTAAAAAACTCTCATATAAAATTACATCTTAACTCAAATTAAAAATTCGAATCAGCAAACTAAACAGACCCTTAGTCTATTACAACGTTATATTATACATAAGAACTCATCCACTATATTTTCATACTCATGAGAAAGAATGTTGAATTCGGACTGTCATGAATTATTATTAAGATAATTGTAATCATCCTCTTTAAGAAAATCAAACTGCAAAATACATAAATATAATTTTATAACAGCAAAACAGAACTGTCACCGGTAAAATCTTTCAAGGAGTTGACTTTTAGATGTATAGATGTGGACTATAAAGCACGGAATAGATCTGAAAATGATTGGTAAACTTGTTAAGGCTTGTATATGCACATATAATATTTATATTTATATATATGGCCTCGAAATAAAGAGAATGTGAACACATAGTAAAATTCTGTATTTTGTGCACGTGGCATAAATAATAAAGAAGGAAAAAAAAAAAGGACAGAGAGATTCTCAAGAGTACAAAGGCTTAGTTTGGTAATGCTGTGAATTTTAAAAAAAGTGTTTTTAGCTGTGCTGAAAGAAAAAGCAGTTGTTTTAAAAAACAGCTGAGTGTTTGGTAAATTATAATTATAGTAGCTGTGCTGGTTTCAAAATCAGTAAATAGCGTTTGGTAAATTTTGAGGTGGAATTGCTGTGGGTATGTAAAATGACCAAAATAGACATGATATAAAATTTAAATATATATAATTATTTTTAGTATTTAAAAATATTTATTTAATTGTGTGAACCCGTATCACTGATTTAAATAGATATTTTAGGCAAATTACTAGGTGAATTTAAATAAATTTGATTTATTTTATTAGCCAAGAAGCTTGTGTAGAAAAAATATATATTTATTTTCTTTTTCAATTTTTGAATTTATTTAGGTGTGATTCATTTAAAATACTTTTATTAACTAAGCATTTGAGTGTAATATGGTAATGGTTGATTCAAAGGGATAAAACATGGGATAAGAAGCATCTCTGAAATGTAAATTTTCGTGATTTTTCAGTATCATCTCTGAAATAAATAATCCTGAGCGTGTCATAAGTACAAAACGATCAAGGGAATTAGTAACCAAGAAAGCAAAACCAACCACGTTATGTCGAGGAAATTATAACAAGATTGAAGATACTATAAATACATTACCCAACCAAGCGTGTTAGGAAACTGCTAAGAAAGTAGGCACTAGAACACAGTAATGATGAACTGCCAAACCAAACTCCAACGAAGACAATTTAGTAGTTTTTCAATCCAAAATCAACATTATATTGTCAGAAATGCGACTAAACGAGTTAAATTTAGTAAAAGCGCAGTAACAATTGTTCTATACTTCCATTCCATGAATAATGGCAAAGGCTTTAAACCCAGCAAGAGGGCCAACACTGTAAAATATCAAAGTGTTCAAGTTATCAACAAAGGATGGAAAAGCACAACCATAAAATATGATTCTTTCTGATCCACAATTAAGAGCAATGTTGTGAACTAAAGGTTCTCCAAGTTATAAGTTCAATTATGCAGAACATAAAATCAATCAATACAAAAATAAGAACACAATTTAAACATATATATATAATAACACAAGATGAAGTAGCTTCTAGCAATTGCATTTGCAGCAAAATTCTATTTTTATTCAAGTGACATCCAGATAAAAATTAATCCACCAACTAGCATTATCATTGTGATATATCAGTCATGAACTGTGTGTACAGCTTCTAAGCTAGAAACGACATCTTAAAGAAGCAACATGTGGAAAAACAATCAAAGATCCCACCAGTTTTCCTTTGATAAAGATTATCAAGTATCCCCCTGCAACCCAGTGCCCTCAAATAGCAAACTAATCCGTATAAGGACACCATTAATCTTTTCATGACAATATCACGAGTATGATAAAGCTATTGAGCAAAGCTGGCAAATGAAATGAGATAACAAGATCAATCAAACCCATATCTTTGAATTCACCAGGAACTCTTCTTGGAATTTTGGTAGTAATTGAGGTACCAACGCACAAACTTCTTCAATCCAGTCTCCAAATCGGTTGTGGGCTTATACCCAAGTTCTCTGTAGGCCAAACTTATATTGGCATGAGTAAACTTCACATCTCCATTTCTCGGCAGAGGCAAGACCTTCGTCTTGGCCTTCACCTTCAAAAGCTTCTCCAATATCCTCACAAGCTGTGTCACCGGCACCGGTGAAGTATTCCCCAAATTGAAGACCCTCAACTGAGCATTCCTCTCTTCTTCCCGCCACTCCCAGTGCTTTTCTTCGCCGTGTCCAAAGCCGCCAAACAGCCCTTCACTATATCATCAATGTAGGTGAAATCCCTCGCCACAGTCCCATGATTA